TCGTGAACACAACCATTTCCTACATCCAATACCCGAACTGTCTGTAGACTTTGAGAGTGATTTCTTTTGTTGTAAATGGCTCATTCGTGAACACAACCATTTCCTACATCCAATACCCGAACTGTCTGTAGACTTTGAGAGTGTTTTCTTTTGTTGTAAATGGCTAATTCGTGAACACAACCATTTCCTGCATCCAATACCCGAACTGTCTGTAGACTTTGAGAGTGTTTTCTTTTGTTGTAAATGGCTCACTCGTGAACACAACCGTTTCCTACATCCAATACCCGAACTGTCTGTAGACTTTGAGAGTGTTTTCTTTTGTTGTAAATGGCTCATTCGTGAACACAACCATTACCTACATCCAATACCCGAACTGTCTGTAGACTTTGAGAGTGTTTTCTTTTGTTGTAAATGGCTCATTCGTGAACACAACCATTTCCTACATCCAATACCCGAACTGTCTGTAGACTTTGAGAGAAGCATCAGAAAAGCGATCATAAATAATGAGACATGTCATGTTTGCAGTCGAGCTTAGCTATGAACCAATAAAATTTTGAAAAATGTGTCGCTCAAAGGTCAAGGTGACACGAGCTGGAAAGACGTGAGGGAAGGGGGGGTTGGGGGGACTGGGGTAAAAAAAGAACGAGAAAATCTATCTAAGTACTTTAATCCCCCCCTTCCCCCCCCCTACTGTTTATTTTTTTCTGTCTGAGAAGGGGACACAACCCACACACACGATTATGCACACGCCAAGAGAGCATCGGGTGGTTTGGCTCGTTACCACAGAACTCCGGCATGGCCCAGGGAGAGAAACCGTGTGGCACCGCTCGCCTTGTTCAATGTCATTCGATTTTCAGTGCGACTTAGATCATTACGTTCCGAATTGTCGAATAATTATTATTTTCAAACTCAGTAACAAATAATCGATTATAATCGAAATGGAGTTTTCGGGATTATGCACCCCCCAACCCCCCCCCCCCGCCTCAACTCCTGAACATTATCGTGAACACAACCATTTCCTACATCCAATACCCGAACTGTCTGTAGACTTTGAGAGTGTTTTCTTTTGTTGTAAATGGCTCATTCGTGAACACAACCATTTCCTGCATCCAATACCCGAACTGTCTGTAGACTTTGAGAGTGTTTTCTTTTGTTGTAAATGGCTAATTCGTGAACACAACCATTTCCTACATCCAATACCCGAACTGTCTGTAGACTTTGAGAGTTTTTTCTTTTGTTGTAAATGGCTCATTCGTGAACACAACCATTTCCTGCATCCAATACCCGAACTGTCTGTAGACTTTGAGAGTGTTTTCTTTTGTTGCAAATGGCTAATTCGTGAACACAACCATTTCCTGCATCCAATACCCGAACTGTCTGTAGACTTTGAGAGTGTTTTCTTTTCTTGTAAATGGATCATTCGTGACCACAACCATTTCCTACATCCAATACCCGAACTGTCTGTAGACTTTGAGAGTGTTTTCTTTTGTTGTAAATGGCTCATTCGTGAACACAACCATTTCCTACATCCAATACCCGAACTGTCTGTAGACTATTTTTTATCGGGGGGGGGGGGTGAGGGTGGTAGTTCACTGTGTCCTTGAAATACTTTGGAGGGCAAGTTCACTGTGCCTCAGACACTGTTAGGGGTCAGATTATATTTTGAAACAATATGAACACATTCCTATGTATAGTGCACATATCATATTTGAAGTGACATAAAAAGAAGAACAAAACAGGAACTAGCAATACAATTTTCAAAATGAGGAATAATTTAACAAATATAACATTTTAAATAAATTAATGGGAGCTATGGGCAATATTTATCACCGCTACCCGGGCACCCGTAAGGAGGCCAGGCGGGCTGGATTAAAGACCCCTGGAGGACCGCAGTAGGCCCGCGGGCCGTAGTTTGAGGACCCTAGTTATAACAATGAAGGTTCAGCCGCTATACGTTATAATCTATTGCTTTTTTTAAGAGACTTAAAAAATCAATTGAGAATCTGAGAAATGTCTTGAAGACAGATTCGACGTCGTGGCACGGCTGCCTCTCTGGAAGATTTAGTTCTGTCTTCTCAAAGGCTGTGTGTGCATCTGTGTGCATAGAGACTTTTGCACCTAGACACAGTCGTTGTGTGCACAGACTCTGTAGTTTTGAGCATAGACACTGTCATCGTAAACATAGACACTGACAGTGCGATCATAGACACTGTGAGTGCGATCATAAGCACTGGCATTGTGCACACACAGTGGCATTTAAGGTTAAAATATTAAGATGAGTGTTTTGTTAACAGAACAACATGTATCATAAAGGACGGTTATAAAGACTTATTGTCACACATCTAATTTATATGTTTTCGCTGCCATTTGCAGTCCAGTAGCCCATAACATGTGCATAGTTGGAAACAAAAAACCCAGACTTCGTTCGTCTTGTTATGGGGGACTTTGATCAACTATCACTGAATAAATGCATGCCTACATACACCCAGTAAGTTACTTGCCCCCCGCGACAAGACCGAACTCTGGACATGTGTTATGGCAATATAAAAAAGGCCTACACATGTCATGCTTTATTTTCACTTGGAGAATCCGACCACACAATGGTCCACCTAACGCCATGCTGTAAGCCAGTTTAAAAAAAAAAAAAAAAATTCAAACAAAATCTATTGAACTGTGGTCAGATGAGGCGACCGAAGAACTTCAGGGCTGCTTGGAAAGTACAGACTGGGACACGCTTATAAACACTTGCCCGGACATTGACCAGCTAACAAACACCGTCAATTCCTACATTAAGTTCTGTGGAGACGAAATTATTCGAGTATTCAACAACAACAAACCTTGGATGAGCAGAGAAATAAAGGAGGCCATCCACCACAAGAAGAACATGTTTAAGATTAACGATCAGGAATCCATTAAAGCTAAAACAAATATTGAAAGAAAAAATATATCAGGGTAAAAAACAATACAAACAAAAAAATAGAAAATTATTCCTTACTAACAACTCAAAGGCTTGTTGGGCAGGACTAAAGCAAATAACAGGATCTACTCCTAAGATGAATGCTTGTGTGTTGAGGACGTGAGGAATTTTGTTAACGACTTAAATGACTTTTATTGTCCATTTCTGGACTTGGAATTGTACACATTGAGATGATGAGTTCATTAAAAGATGGCGGTAGCACACAGGATGGCACTTTACTGTTCACCGAACAGGGAGTGATGTCATTATTTAAACAAGTGGACGCAGCCAAGTCCTCGGGACCAGACAAATTAAGTGGTCGGCTCATTAAACTATGCTCAGAGCAGCTCTCTGAAATTTTTTGTTACATATTTAATACATCTCATGTAAACTCACACAATACCAAAAATTTGGAAAACTTCAGAAATCATACCAATTCCAAAGAAAAATTAAATAAGGTAACTTGCAACAATGACTTACTGTTGCACTTACCTCTATTGGAATGAAATGTTTTGAGAAAATAATTCTGAAGAAATTTGGAATGAAGTACGGCAAAAACTTGACCCCCACCAATTTGCTTACAAACCTCCCAGAAGCACAGAGGATGCAATCTTACTATTGTTGGAGAGACTTTACCATCACCAAGACAGTCCTAAAACATATACCAGAGTGCTTTTCTTAGACTTTTCATCAGCATTTAACACTATCCAACCACACCTAATGATAAAGAAACTTTCCTCGTTAGGTGTCAATTTAAATATTCAAGCTTCGATACTAAACTTTTTAACAAATCGACCACAATATGTCAAAGTAAATAACCAATTATCTCTAACCAGAGAAATAAGCACAGGGACACCACAAGAATGCGTTCTCTCCCCTGTACTATATACCATATATACCAAGGATATTCAAAGCTCAAGCGACACCGTTCCAATCTTAAAATTTGCTGATGACACCACCATCGTTGGCTCAATATCTGAAAGGGAAGGCCTATACCGCAATTTAGTTACAAGCTTTATCAATTGGTGCGATGAAAATTTTCTCCAGCTGAATGTCTCAAAAACAAAGGAAATGGTTGTTGATTTCAGGAGGGGGGGACACCAGATTACAGATCTCAACATAAAAAATCAAAGCGTAGAGAAAGTGGAGGCATACTAGTACTTAGGAGTCACTATTAATTATAAGCTAACATGGCATGAGCACGGCGCCAAATGCTGTATAAGAAATTCAACCAAAGACTGTTCTATCTCAAAAAACTTTACAATTTCGGCATAGAGAAACAAGTCGTTAACTTATTCTACAGTACAACAATTGGAAGCCTGCTTAATTTCAGTATTACCTGCTGGTGTGGGAATTCAACGTCTGATAAACCGACTAATCAAGAAAGCTAGCAACATAACACAAACTAAACATCCTTCTCTTGAAGAACTATTTGAAGAAAGATGTTATTGTAAAACTGAACACATTTTGGATGATACACCCCACCCTCTTTATCACAAATACTAAGGATCAGGCCGTTCGGGACGAATTCTTTCCATCAGGGCGAGGACTGAAAGATATAAAAATTATTTTGTTCCCCAATCTGTACGAATTTACCCGCGTGCTTTCTCTGAAGTCACACATCTGAATGAGAACTAATAAGTCCCCGATTTGGCAAAGAGAACTCACTGAATGGCTGTTTGAGATAATTTATTATAAATGTCTTGTCTTCAAATTGTTTTAGTTATGTGCTGAATATGTATAATGCAATCAAAAAAAATTTCCATTTATTTGGATCAATAAAAGGATCTTATCTTATCTTATCTTATCTTATCTTATCTTATCTTATATACAAAAGCGAATCTAGGATTTGGTTAAAGAGGCCAGCCACCCGTATGGCCCTTTTGGGGCTTATTAACTATATTTTGAGATGGGTGTGGATGTAGGGGGACAATTTTGAGAGGTAGCCCGAGGAAAACCTAGTCAAGATACGCCTCTGCATATTTAAGGGTCTATCCATTGTCTTGACTCACCAACCTCCACCAACAGCACGCTAGATGAATGGCACACCACCTACAAAGATGACTACCGCTACAAATTTACCCCAAGAAAACACAAGCGCAACTCACAGGAGCCTCAGACTACCAAGGCAAACGCCCCTGACCTTGACCAGCGATTGCCAAGCATCCCGCTGATAAAGAGCAAGGACCCGTGCTCTACGAGGCAAGAGAATGATTCTGATGAACTGGACAGGCTGTGTGGTATCGATCCGACCGAGTATTCGGTATCGTTGGAGAAAATGAAGAACATGTGGAGTCTCAAGGTTCAATTCCCTTTCACTTTTCTGTGCTTTATAGTTATCTTTTTTTTATATATAATTCGTATCTCGAGAATCAACTATTATAGGGATTCACTGGCAGAAAAATTAAGCTGTGGGCTATCCTACGAGTGCTGAGAACCACTTTTAAAACATATGACACGTTATCGTAAAATATGTCTAAATTTAAAAAAACTTAAGCTTTCCTATTTCTACATCAAATATCCTCATTTTGTACAACAATTAATTACCGCATATTTATAATAAGTTATCTGATATTTTACTCTCTTTACAATGAGTGATCATATAGTGTACAATATGTTATCGAATGTTTACAGCATGTTTACAATTAGATACCAAATATTGACAGTAAGGCACCGAACAATTCCATCAGTTTAGCAAAAGTATACAGTAATGTTTAACACTCATTTAGTCCATAACCGCGGTTATCAAAGTGTTGGAATGTTGCCAAACTTAAATAGTCATTATTTTTTAATATTTTTAGGGGGGGGGGGAGGGATTTTCGTTTATTTTATAATAACATTTATTTGTACCACTAGAAACACCGTTATGTAAATGTACCACAGTTTGAGATCCTTTTTGTCTTTAACATTAAAATCTTTCTTCACAGAGTACAGGTGATCCAGATGACGTGTGTGCGGCACTGGCCAGTGGTCTACAGTGTAAATATCAAACGTCGTATTCTTAAAACATTTTATTTTAAACGTTTAAAGTAAATAAGTACAATGAACTGAACCTGCCATTTAGAGTTGATGTCTAAGAAGAGCGAACTGAACCTGCCATTTAGAGTTGATGTCTAAGAAGAGCGAACTGAGCCTGCCATTTAAAGTTGATGTCTAAGAAGAGCGAACTGAGCCTGCCATTTAGAGTTGATGTCTAAGAAGAGCGAACTGAGCCTGCCATTTAGAGTTGATGTCTAAGAAGAGCGAACTGAACCTGCCATTTAGAGTTGATGTCTAAGAAGAGCGAACTGAACCTGCCATTTAGAGTTGATGTCTAAGAAGAGCGAACTGAGCCTGCCATTTAGAGTTGATGTCTAAGAAGAGCGAACTGAACCTGCCATTTAGAGTTGATGTCTAAGAAGAGCGAACTGAACCTGCCATTTAGAGTTGATGTCTAAGAAGAGCGAACTGAGCCTGCCATTTAGAGTTGATGTCTAAGAAGAGCGAACTGAACCTGCCATTTAGAGTTGATGTCTAAGAAGAGCGAACTGAACCTGCCATTTAGAGTTGATGTCTAAGAAGAGCGAACTGAACCTGCCATTTAGAGTTGATGTCTAAGAAGAGCGAACTGATCCTTGACATGCACTCCACCTTTACACCTGAATCAATTATAAAAAATAAAAGAACAATAATATTGTGCATTTTATATCTGTTCTTTTTCAAAGCGCTAACTGCTTGACTTGGATTTCAAAATGTTTGGCTTTTAAAAAGTTACTCTGAAGTATATCAATATCCATGCTCTCTCGTCATGGTCCATCTAGAGTAGCTGGGTCAAGAATAACACTAGCCATCATCTCTCATCATGGATCATCTGGCATAGCCGGGTCAAGTATAAAACTATCCATCATTTCTCGTCATGGACCATCTGGCCTACCTGGCCTACCTGAACTCACTCCTAACACGCTACGCTTCACTAGACTTGTATCTTGTACATAGCTATGCATGAAACTTCTATAAATACGTTTACATATCATTGCATGTAACTTCAATGATGACGTCACCAGGTGATGGAAGACATGGCTCCAGGGTGTACAGCAACGAGATGCCAACCATTCCAAGAAAACCTCTACCCCGTGACATTCTGCAGCCTGACGTCATTGTCCTCAAGGCCACAGATTGGAAGGGTAACGACTTAATAATCATCTTTATTAATTAAAAAAATATATTTTTAAAATCGTTCAATTCGAGTTCTCAAAATGCACTTTGTGAATTATATGTGTTATTTACAGTAGAACTTTGGTTAACTAACATAATCACTTCCATTACTTTGTTCTTAAACCGAAACGTTCGCTAACCGAAATAAAGTTTTCCCATTGAATTCAACTAATCTGTTCCAGCCTTAGGAGATATGGTATTTTGAAATTTTGATTGGTCGTTCTGTAATGAAAAGTAGATCTTTTATCACACTTAGCAGCCTCTTCATATCTTACAACTAGAAGCCACTGCATGCCTTACCACTAACAGACTCTCCATGATTACAACTAACAGCCTCTCCATGATTACAACTAGCAGTCTCTCCATGATTACAACTAGCAGTCTCTCCAAAAATCTTTGCCAACCCAGGGTGGTACTAACACTAGCTTCGTCCCTATTCAGGAAATCAGGGTCAGCTATACACTGCACTATCATTTTTATCGGTAAGTAGGACAAATCGAAGTCGGCCGTGGCTCTATTGTGGAAGTCGCCTCTCCAGAAAAGTTTCATTATTTCAAAAATCAAGATGTGCAGTTTTGAGAATATCTTTTCATTAGACTCTTTGATCGGGGAAGGAATTGTTATGTCATTATAGGGCCCAGTCTTGCTTCTTTTTATGCATTTTTACCCCGTCTGGGGCATAGGCCATCTACAAGAATTTTCGAATCATCACGGTCCTGTGCTTTCCTTTTCAGTTGCTTCCCGGTGTATAAAATACTTTGCACGTCTGCTTCTAGCTCGCGTCTCCAAGTATTCTTTGGCCTTCCTCTCTAGCTCGCGTCTCCAAGTATTCTTTGGCCTTCCTCTCTTTCTTTTTCCGTGTCGATTCCATGTTAGGGATTGTCCGGTGATGCTATCTGGGGTTTTTGGTGAGTATGTCCCAACCAACTCCATCTTTTCTTTTTGATGACTTCATCAATGGGCACCTGGTAAGCCCTTTCAATAAGAACATTATTAGTTATGGTATTTGGCCATTTGATGTTCAGGGTGAGTTATTGATCGTGAGGTCAGAGCGTGAAGTTGGTGGCGTGGAACGTTAGTGTGTGCTGTGTGTTAGTCGACAGTAGGAGAGACAAGTTGGTTGACAGTGAGAGTTGAGCTGATGTGTCAGAGTCCAGAATTGTCACATGAGTCGAGAGATCTAGTATTTTGTTAGATTCATTGTATGGCTTGTTGCCTGAGGATTGTATTCTTCTGCTGAATCAGTTATGTAGCAACTGTTTTTGTAACAAGTGGATGTTTCAGTACATGTAAATGAATACATAATTTACAATGGACTAGTCAGTGTTTGAGTTACTTGACCAAGAGAGAGAGAGAGAGACGAGAATAAAACTTACAGGTCTGACATAAGGTTAGACATCGAGTAGTCACCCTACAGGTCTGACATAAGGCTATACATCGGGTAGTCACCATACAGGTCTGACATAAGGTTAGACATCGATTAGTCACCATCGGAGGTTGTAGCCCCTAGACAACAGGAGAAGGCCGTAATACGATGGTCTTGATGACACCAGTGAAAGGGTCATTCGACCCCAAAAGAGGTCGCGACCCACAGGTTGAGAACCGCTGCCATAGTCGATCCCACAGTCGAAGCCTGAACAGGATTCAATGACCATTGATACTGACAGTTATAGGTTATGGGCTAAATGAGATACATGGATGTGCGTTATGTGAGGGGGTGGTGGGGTAATGTGAGGGGGTGGTGGGGTAATGTGAGGGGGTGGTGGGGTAATGTGAGGGTGTGGTGGGGTAATGTGAGGGGTGGAGGGGTAATGTGAGGGTGTGGTTTGGAAATGTGGGGGAATGGTGGGGTAATGTAAGGGTGTGGTGGGGTAATGGTATGANTATTGAGGTGGGTGTGATGGGTGGGTATGGTGCAGGTATTGAGGTGGGTGTGATGGCAGAAAACGCAAGGATGCTGTGGTAGTAATGGGGGGGGGGGGTGGTTATTTAGTGAAGGTATGACGAAAGTTGTAATGGGAATAATTTGATGGTTTGTTGGAGGTTGAGATTGGAGAAGTGTGAATGTTACGAATAGGTTGGAGTTGGGGTAGACGAACATCATTTCATCTATGGATTAACAATAAATATCTTTTTGACAAGTGTCACTTCCGGTCATCATTGATGTAAAACAAAATGGTGAAATCGACCATATGAGAGCAACAGACCGATCAATATCTCGAGCTTGGGGGGAAGAAAAATTGAATTTCTGACAGGTATATAAGACATACAAGCTCTTTTACTGGACGGTTAAGTTGGCCAGCTGTCAACCTGGAGGACAGAGCTTGTTGTCCGCGAACAGGATCGTGTTGACCTTGACCTTCATCGACCAGGGCTGAGTAGTCGGGGCAAGAAAACGGGAGTATAAATTGTTTTAAAAAATCTATGACTTCGATGATACAAAAGTTTCAAATAATCTATGACTTCAATGATACAAAAGTTTCAAATAATCTATGACTTCGATGATACAAAAGTTTCAAATAATCTATGACTTCAATGATACAAAAGTTTCAAATAATCTATGACTTCGATGATACAAAAGTTTCAAATAATCTAGGACTTCGATGATACAAAAGTTTCAAATAATCTATCACTTCGATGATACAAAAGTTTCAAATAATGTAGACTTCGATGATACAAAAGTTTCAAATAATCTATGACTTCAATGATACAAAAGTTTCAAATAATCTAGGACTTCGATGATACAAAGGTTTCAAATAATCTAGGATTTCGATGATACAAAAGTTTCAAATAATCTATCACTTAGATGATACAAAAGTTTCAAATAATCTATGACTTCGATGATACAAAAAATGTAAAAGTTAAATAAAAGAAAAATTTTTATCTGCCAAATCCTCATCTTCCTTGTCAATATAAATTCAACTCGCTTTTCTGACTCTCTTGTATTTGAAACAACAAAACTGAACTCCGAATCGGTACATTAGAAGAGAAACGACACAAAATAAAGAAACACACACTTAGTGAAGGTTACCATCTGAGATATGATGACCTTGAACTAGCTCCTTATTAACTGAGTTGTATCTCAATTATCTGTGAGCAGACACATGTTTTCCTAGGATTTAAAGACCACTATTCCAGATGTTACAAACATAAGAGTATAAATATTAACTGTTTATTTTCCTTCTCCTTTCCTTTAGGGGTGAAGTTGCCGTTTGAAGATCCGAGATTCGAACCCATGTACCTCGCCGATAGAGACACGGACTTCATGTCGTGCACCAACAATCCGTTCAGATACTGCAACAGGAAACGGAAGTTCCCAGAAAAGAACAGGTGACAAGACTTTAGCTCCAATCTCACTGAGAGTAAAAGTAATAGTAATAGTTCGTTAGTATAAATCGACTATGCCCATCTTAATTATTGTAGCTAAACGTGCCCCTACCCTTTTTTCTAACTCCCTAATTCATCTGGTGCCCCCAACCCCATGTTTTAATCATATCGCCAATGAATCCTCTTAATGAATTGGAATCAAGCCAATACATCTTCTTAATGAATTGGAATCAAGCCAATACATCTTCTTAATGAATTGGAATCGACTCTGTCATAAAACGCCATCTACTATAATTCAATAAAGATCAAGTGATAATATTCTCAGTGATAAATGTTTAGTTAGTATCAATACCAATGTTTATATTCAACATGAAAGGAAAATATGTATGTTACAAGTGAGTGAAATAATATAAATCAAATTAAAAGTCTTTAATGAGGTGGGATAATGTGAGGGGGTGGTGGGGTAATGTGAGGGGGTGGTGGGGTAATGTGAGGGGGTGGAGGGGTAATGTGAGGGGGTGGTGGGGTAATGTTAGGGGGTGGTGGGGTAATGTGAGGGGGTGGTGGGGTAAAGTGAGGGGGTGGTGGGGTAATGTGATGGGGTGGTGGGGTTATTATCAAATTAAAAGTTTGAAAGAATCTACTTTCTTTATTAATTAAAATGAAAATAAAGAAAGAAAATCAGTGTGAACCTCTTTTCTATTATTAAAAATCTTACAACATTCATCAGGTGTCCCAATCTACCCATCGCTAGGGAAGATATTATGAAGCCGGAACCCGGGGGCTACTACGCATGCATGAGACCCTCTGCAATGCCCGACAGGAGATGGCCAATGAGGAGGTTCCCGAGGCCTCCGGAGTCTTTCCTAACCCGATTGTGGTAGATTGTTGCCATGACAACCGAAAACATTCGAGGTCCGGGGGAGCGGGGGTTACCTCAAAACATAAAGATGATGATGCAAGGTGTTCATTAAAGGAGCAGGGATACGAAATGTACCTATAATCTCAGAGTTCTGTTCTTAAATCAGGATATAACATAGGAGACACAGGGATACAAAATGTATTTATAATCTCAGAGTTCTTTTCTTAAATCAGGATGTCAAACAGGGAACACAGTGAATTGTTTTTAAACATACAAACTTTGATTCTGTGCTGATTTGGTGAGGGGTGGTCTCAAACTCAAACTCCACTTGTAGCGTTCATCAGGGTACTTTTGAATGCTTAGATGCCGCGTCATATCAAAATGCCGTCTTTGTTAAGCGCTGCCTTCATAACATGCGTAGCATAACACATAACCTTGCCGTTTGTATGAGATAATATTATATGAGGGTATTCATGTGTATGAATTTATCATGATTATTTTTCAATATCAATCCGGGACGTCATTTTTTTTATTCAGTTGCAGACAAACAATGTTAATATGTAGATTGTGAATGCAATTATTCAATCACCAATGTTAGTATTTGGATGTATTCATTCAATCAACAACGTTTATATGTGGAAGCATTTATTCAATCAATGTTGAAGTCTCTTTAAAGGGAACGAACGAAGGAATAATCAAACATATTTAAAAAAATAAATAAATATCAAATCGAATTGAGACAAAATATTTGAATGCAATTCTCTTTATTGTTTGAGTTAAACAAATAATTTGATTTAGTTATGTAAACAAAACATATTAAACAATATAAGCCTTTGCACGTTGTTGATGAGAGTTCTAAATTCTAATTACCACATATTTTCCAACAAAATGATGTTTTTACACATACACACACAAGAGCCATTATATATTGACTTTGAGCCAGATCTCAAGCAAATAAACATGAATGATGAAATAAATAAATTAAGTCTTTACCCCTTTTAAAAATGCTAATAGGGCGTGTCTGGAGTGTCTGGATTTTTTTGGAGTATCTAAAGTGCCTGGCTTTTCTGGAGTGTCTTGAGTCTCTGGCTTTTCTGGAGTGTCTGGAGTCTCTGGCTTTTCTGGAGTGTCTGGAGTGTCTGGCTTTTCTGGAGTGTCTGGAGTGTCTGGTTTTCTGGAGTGTCTGGAGTGTCTGGCTTTTCTGGAGTGTCTGGAGTCTCTGGCTTTTCTGGAGTGTCTGGAGTGTCTGGCTTTTCTGGAGTGTCTGGAGTCTCTGGCTTTTCTGGAGTGTCTGGAGTGTCTGGCTTTTCTGGAGTGTCTTGAGTCTCTGGCTTTTCTGGAGTGTCTTGAGTCTCTGGCTTTTCTGGAGTGTCTGGAGTTTCTGGCGTGTCTGGAGTCTCTGGATTTTCTGGAGTGTCTGGAGTGTCTGGCTTTTCTTGAGTGTCTGGAGTCTCTGGCTTTTCTGGAGTGTCTGGAGTGTCTGGCTTTTCTGGAGTGTCTGGAGTCTCTGGCTTTTCTGGAGTGTCTGGAGTCTCTGGCTTTTCTGGAGTGTCTGGAGTCTCTGGCTTTTCTGGAGTGTCTGGAGTCTCTGGCTTTTCTGGAGTGTCTACAGTGTCTAGCGTGTCATTTCACTTTTTAATATATTTTTTACACTTTAAAAAAATAAAATACTAATAATTCCACAAAATTTTTTGTGTTGACAGGTTAGTTAGTGTATTATTTTTTAACTGTTAAATATGTGTACTTAAAGTTAATGTTTACAATGCAAGTGATTGACAAAGTTTAATCGGCATACGACTTCTCAAGTCTCTGTCACACGTGATCATATTTAATTGGTTAGCTACAAAATTGAAAATTATAACACGCAGCATCCACTCGCCGCTTTGTAGAGTCACGTGACAATCTTCATACTGACCCACTACCCCATATTTTCAAACTTTTCTTTTAAATTAGACATTTCGCACAAAAATGTCCCCTCCGTCATAAAAAAAAAAAAATATTTGTCTAGATAATACGACTTACAGGAACAGTTGACTTTTTAAATCATTTCTTTTAACTTGTTTGTCACCGACTTAAACATCTTCGGATGGCTATTTAACCCACTTCCATTCAGCCTATCGAGCTGAAACTTGGCACATAGACTTGTTACCAAAGACAACACATCTTTTAAAATTTTCAGCCCCAACCCCAAAAAACTAAATATTTCCTGTTTTCAAGGAAAAAATAAAGGAACTATGATGCCATCGGTTTCAAGGAACCAGATAACTTCGCTAAATGATATTCTTTTTAAAAAAGATTATCACAACTGCGTTTGGTGTGTAATATTTTCTTTGCTTTTCGGAAATGTTGGTTAAATAAATCGAGGTGTAAAAGCGAATGGGTCATTATAAAATTAACATAGTCAGGGGCGTGGACAAAATGTGTGGTTGCGAGCCTTGTGAAAAAAAAATGGGTTGGGGGGGGGCACTTGTTAGGATTTTATAAAGTGAGTTACTTGAAGGCATCTTTTGTCAAATGTTCAGCCCCACCCAGCATTGCTCTAATGTTCAGCCCCACCCAGCATTGCTCTAATGTTCAGCCCCACCCAGCATTGCTCTAATGTTCAGCCCCACCCAGCATTGCTCTAATGTTCAGCCCCACCCAGCATTGCTCTAATGTTCAGCCCCACCCAGCATTGCTCTAATGTTCAGCCCCACCCCGTATTGCTCTAATGTTCAGCCCCACCCAGCATTGCTCTAATGTTCAGCCCCACCCAGCATTGCTCTATATTACATTTTGAAAGGGCGTAGACGAAAAGATTTGTTTTTAAAGGTTGTTTATTTGAAAGTAAACGTTACAAAAATTATGCATTTGCTCACCTGCATGTGGAAATGATAGAAACGTCCCAGGTAACAAAAAAAGTAATGTGCAAAGTTAAACACTGACATTAAACAAGGGCATTAAACACTTATATTTTGACATTAACACTGACATTAAATCAAATTTTTCATGACTACTGTGTTTCTCACAGTCGTAACAACGATGGCTGAGGTGATTATGTCGCACGTCATTCTTACAACCCACTACGACACATCAAAACACTTTGAAGTCAAGATAACATATGACCACTACGACACATCAAAATACTTTGTAGGGACAATAATATATTAGCACTACGACACATCAAAACACTTTGTAGACAAGACAATCTAAGACCACTACGACACATCAAAACACTTTGTAGTCAAGACAATCTATGACCACTACAACACATCAAAACACTTTGTAGTCAAGACAATATATGACAACTACGACACATCAAAACACTTTGTAGTCAAGACAATCTAAGACCACTACGACACATCAAAACACTTTGTAGTCAAGACAATCTAAGACCACTACGACACATCAAAATACTTTGTAGTCAAGACAATCTAAGACCACTACGACACATCAAAACACTTTGTAGTCAAGACAATCTAAGACCACTACGACACATCAAAACACTTTGTAGTCAAGACAATCTAAGACCACTACGACACATCAAAACACTTTGTAGTCAAGACCATCTAAGACCACTACGACACATCAAAACACTTTGTAGTCAAAACCATCTAAGACCACTACGACACATCAAAACACTTTGTAGTCAAGACAATCTATGACAACTACGACACATCAAAACACTATGTAGTCAAGACAATCTAAGACCACTACGACACATCAAAACACTTTGTAGTCAAGACAATCTATGACAACTACGACACATCAAAACACTATGTAGTCAAGACAATCTAAGACCACTACGACACATCAAAACACTTTGTAGTCAAGACAATCTATGACAACTACGACACATCAAAACACTTTGTAGTCAAGACAATCTATGACAACTACGACACATCAAAACACTTTGTAGTCAAGACAATCTATGACATCCCTTAAAGGCATCTGTCCTAAAGTATTGATCTTACGCACTCTTTAACGGACTACTTTTTTATACGCCGACGGCGGAAACAAAACCAGCGGCGGGATGTGACCTTGACCCTTAAAGTTATTGTCCGGTAATGCAGTATGAAATATTAATCTGTCAACATTTCAAGTCTGGAGCTTTCCTTTAATCGTCTCGCCTTGCTTTTCTCTTTTTTTTTTTTGTTTTATTTTGTTTTTGATATTTATTTTATTTGCTCGTGTTAATAATTTCATAACATTTTCCCTCAAAAAACCTCTCTGAAACATAGGAGCCAGAATGATCAATTCTTTGATCGTGGGCCCTCATAATATAGTTTCACCACCTATATGTCTTCTGTCCGAGCGCCTCTTTCTCTCTCTTTCCTTTTTCTAATTCTGTTTATCGCTTTCTCACACACACACTGACACATTCTCTGGTTCTTTCCTCTGCCTCTTAGAGCCACTGATCACGCACACACTGACACATTCTCTGGTTCTTTCCTCTGCCTCTTAGAGCCACTGATCACGCACACACTGACACATTCTCTGGTTCTTTCCTCTGCCTCTTAGAGCCACTGATCACGCACACACTGACATATTCTCTGGTTCTTTCCTCTGCCTCTTAGAGCCACTGATCACGCACACACTGACTCATTCTCTGGTTGTTTCCTCTGCCTCTTAGAGCCACTGATCACACACACACTGACTCATTCTCTGGTTGTTTCCTCTGCCTCTTAGAGCCACTGATCACACACACACTGACACATTCTCTGGTTCTTTCCTCTGCCTCTTAGAGCCACTGATCACACACACACTGACACATTCTCTGGTTCTTTCCTCTGCCTCTTAGAGCCACTGATCACACACACACTGACACATTCTCTGGTTCTTTCCTCTGCCTCTTAGAGCCACTGATCACACACACACTGACACATTCTCTGGTTCTTTCCTCTGCCTCTTAGAGCCACTGATCACACACACACTGACACATTCTCTGGTTCTTTCCTCTGCCTCTTAGAGCCACTGATCACACACACACTGACACATTCTCTGGTTCTTTCCTCTGCCTCTTAGAGCCACTGATCACACACACACTGACACATTCTCTGGTTCTTTCCTCTGCCTCTTAGAGCCACTGATCACACACACACTGACACATTCTCTGGTTCTTTCCTCTGCCTCTTAGAGCCACTGATCACACACACACTGACACATTCTCTGGTTCTTTCCTCTGCCTCTTAGAGCCACTGATCACACACACACTGACACATTCTCTGGTTCTTTCCTCTGCCTCTTAGAGCCACTGATCACACACACACTGACACATTCTCTGGTTCTTTCCTCTGCCTCTTAGAGCCACTGATCACACACACACTGACACATTCTCTGGTTCTTTCCTCTGCCTCTTAGAGCCACTGATCACACACACACTGACTCATTCTCTGGTTGTTTCGTCTGCCTCTTAGAGCCACTGATCACACACACACTGACACATTCTCTATTTGTTTCCTCTGCCTCTTAGCGCCACTGATCACACACAGACTGACACATTCTCTGGTTGTTTCCTCTGCCTTTTAGAGCCACTGATCGGACACGCACTAAACTCATTTCTGTAAAGCGATGTGAACTCCTTCTGTTGCACACTTGCAGTCTAAAATAAACTGTTCTTTAAAGGAACTACGCTATACACTTGGAGGTTATTTATATTGGCTATGTTGACCTAGAGTAAGTGTAATTACCTAGAGTAAGTGTGTT